TTGGAATAGTGACTTCTTGGTCTTTCTCGAGTGTAAAATGAAATGGCAAGCCAGACTGTTACTGCCCTTTAGAGGAGACTTGCTTGAAGTTTTGCTCCAAAACTTGTGCAGCAAAACTTCGGGAGATGGTATAAATGCTGACATTTGCACAATGAACTCCACATCAAGTCTCACTGCACTTTGATCTTCCAATATGTGTGTATTATAACTGGAATCCTGAACTTTGTAACACTAGAGAAGAAGAATGGATGATGCTAAATACAATTTTGCCTCATTGTTTAATGTCTGCTCTTGCCACGTTCCAACAAAATGCCCCAGGTAACACAGCTGGTGTGTGCAACACAAGCTCCTAACACGAACGGTACATCTTCAGCATAGCTTGGTTTGTGCACTACCTTTTAGGCTTGTTCTAGACAAACACGAGGCCAAAAAATACAGTGTCTAAAGCATTTAACAGCAAATTACAGCTTACTTTTTGGTAAGCAAAACAGATGATGGACATCATAGTACTTCTCGTCTATCTTTTCTCGTGGTTCAAGTTATCATTGACTAAGTCTTGAGTAATGAAAGGTAACTTTAACAAAATGATGGAGAGTGTGAGACTTGTGGTCAACACTCTCTTGAGAAGTCTTGACTGTTGGATGTCCCATGGTAACATGTTAACTTCTTCATTTGGACCTGCAATCCTGTTAACTGTGTACCTGGAAGACTGAAAGATGCTACAGGAGTTTGCTTCCAAGGCTGCAGCCTATAGACTTCCACTTACGTGGAAAACTGTACCACGTGTAAATGCTGAAGCATCTAAGCTCTTTTCAATGACTTTCTGATAGAAGGCACAAGGGAACAGGGAGCTCAGCTTTAACAGTAGAAGCAGCCTTTTAAAGTAATAATGAAAAAATGCAATCTGAAATTTCAGCTTAACACAAGTTTAAGGCTGCTAAGTTTTCTTTTGGAAAGTGAATTATGTATTGTGACTGCCTGCAACTCTCAGCTGGGGGAATAAACTTGATGCTCCTACCTTGCGATATACAGCCAGTACTACACCAGCTGTATTTTTCTCCCCTGAGCTCTGCAAGGAAAATTAAGGCTATTGATGGAGACTAATGTACAGCCTGAAGTGTTCATTAATTCAGAGGAACTAAGTCTAGTAGTTTGATCAACTTAAAGTGCCTTTGAGAGAGTTTCCTTACAGCCAACGCTAAACAGCTTTCTACCACAATTAAAGAGGAAGAAATTGCAATTTGAACCAAAACTCTAGTTTTCTTTTAGTCATTATTTCACCTGGGGAGGTTGATTGCAGCAGGCACCATTGGTGGGGCTCCATCCCTTGTGCTCTCTGCTGCCGCTGGCCAGAGGTCTTGGTGTTGCGGGGTTCTTGAGGGGGTTTTTCTGGCAGTGCCGGTTGTGGGGCACAAACTTGAGTGGAGGCACTTGGTAATAGAGTGGTGGTCAACACATTTCTAACTATATATAAAAAAATGCACTTCCTTTTTTGTAGCGTACTTACCGTTGTGACCAAAACGTCCCCCGCTGTCCCGGAGCAGTGTCCGTCACGTTGGCACGGGCATCGCTCGGGGGGCACGCGGGAAACGAGCCGTCTTCCTGGCCCGGGAAAGCGACGCTGTCGAGCTGGGCTGCGCGCGCTGACGCTCTGTGCTGGCTCCCACGGCGGCCTCTCCTCCGGAGCCCGGGTTCCTTTTGAGTTCATCATTCCGCACTTGCACACAAGCACAAAGCGCGGTGTGGCTTCAGTTTTATTTCATGCATCTACTCGAGGAGGTTGTAATCGCTGCTTCACACCACTAGGAGTGAGAATGTTGCTGTTAAAGGTACTAATAGAGCATTACGTGTTGCTTGCTAAAAGCTGACAGATGCCTTAATGACTTTGTTCTGGAGATGTCTGACTTGCACAACTGCTCACACAGTGCATGTAAACTAATGTGTAACAGCAGGGGAGGCTGAGGCTGGATCTTTGCTGCTGATCAAATGTAGTAAAAGGGAAGTCTTAATTTCTTAACAGCAGGGTTGGATATTGCAGCAAACTCAACAATATCAAAGCTTAATCTGAGTGATGATAAATAACTCTGAACCTTTTAATACATTCTGTGAAATAGAGAGAGAAGTCTTAGAATGATGGCATTTTATCTGCAACGTTTGTCCGGAGTCATTGTAAAAAATGTATTTTTCCAATATGCATTACTTTGTTGTGTAATGATTATACTTGTAATAAAATGCATAACGAGATAATGCATCTGGATGTGAAAACCTGCAGCTTCTTTATAGCAGTTGTGCAAGAGGGCTGCCCCCTTCCCAGCTGCCTTCATGAAGGGCTAGAAGCCCCAAGAAAACTGGGATTACAGGCAAGGGGATATTACAGCTCATGTTGTTCTGCAATTATTCTAGATACTCAATCTCTACAAGCTATGACATGCCTCTGACTTTCTAAGTGGACCAGCTGAGCTGAATTCACCTAAATAACAAACTATCTTGTATTGTCACTGAGGAGCAGGTAATCTACCCTCGAGGAAGAGTGTGGAACTGCTGCAGCTTTACGTCAAAGAAAGGAAGGCTTCAGTGCAGTGACCAAACCAGCCCAGCACGTTTTGTTAGGATTATTAAGGCCAGGCTAATGGTGAACTGTGAGTATCACTGGAGCGCTTCATTGACTCTTATAAAAGTGTTTCTTTTTCTACCTGCCTACTCTGGGGAGGAATTCGCTTAGTTTTTTAATTAGGGCAGTAAAAGTGAGACAATCTTTGACCAGAGTAGGGGTTTGCTTTAAGAGATGTTTCTTCCTGGGCAAGGAGCAGGGGACTTAAATGAAGGAATTTGTGACTTTTTTATTTTTAACTCAAAGCAACAAGTGACTGTAAAATCAGTGCTTGCTTCCAGCAGCCCCACATTGGGGCTGTGCTGCTGTGAAGCTGTGAAACCCCTCAGCAGCAGCTCGGCACTGTTTGCATGGGGAGGAGCAGCCCTAAGACACAGCAAGTTGAAGCTTGGCTTAGGGCCTGTGTGGCTTATACTGCCCTCCACTAGATACCCAGGTGCTTTGCAGCTACAACTACTCTTTGTAGCCAAGGATCTGGACTGTGCTGTAGATTTGTTTTTAAAAACACTGGACTTGTTCAGAGTTACTGTACATTTATGGTGTTCCCTGTAACGATCTTACTGAATTACTAGGAGCAAGCAGGGGAAGAAGGTATGTGCACCAAAACAGAGGATCTTTATAGCGCCTGCTAAGCAGCCCAGACAAAGCAGCGCTGCTGTTTTTAAGGCTAAGCTGTTCGTTTAGAAGATACTGTAAGGATGGTACCTGCCTAAGGCTCAGTTTAGTGCTAGAAGGCCAGGCACTGTGTGATGGCTCTGTGCTGCCACACATCCCCTTGGACAACTTCCAGCTGTGGCAGGACCTGCTCTTTTGGTCTCTTAGGTGCTTTACAAAACTTTTCCTGTCATACAATGTGGAGGTGATGGCAAAAAATAAGCATCAAAACCAGGTTTAAAAAAGAACTGTTTATTCCAATAAGCACAGACACATCTTAAAGCTATTGCAGGATCCTGGGCCAAGGCAGTTGTAGCCTCATCTTTCTGAACACTGCAGGGATGAAGTGCTGGTGTCTCTACCTGCTGTCAGTGCAAGGCAGTGATTGCCCTAGCTCCGGGGGGATGGTGCCAGGTCTCCTGTAATCTCACTTACTTATTAGCTAATTCCTTAGATCTGTGGATATTTTTTGAGGAGAAGAGAGGCAGAAATAGCTCAACACTCATAAAGGGCTCTCGAAGGATCTCCCGGTTGTTTATAAATAGGTGGTGGTTGCTTTAGGAAGAGGAACTGAACACAGCTCAGCACACAGCTGTGGCAGGGCTGGACCCCACGTTTAGCAGCAGCCTCCAGGAAAACAGAAAAGCCAAAGTGCTGCCTGTGTTTGTAGTCCCTGGGCCCTGGCCTGGCGCTCCCTTGTCCTTTTTAATCCTGCACAGAAAGGGTAGTAACTGGCCTTACTCTTGTGGGAGTTGTGGAAGTTAATGGATTTTGCCAGGTCTGATAAAATACTGCCTTTAAGGGAGCTGGGTTGCCAACCTGTGGTTAAGGTCTGATGGACCTGTATCAGAATGGGGGCAGGGGAAGATGTCGTAAACCAGCACGGAAATAGGAAAAGGAGGGAGATTGCAGCATGATGATCATGTTGTTACACAGCTTTCATTACAGTCTAATTAAAACTATCAATTCTTGACCTCTGAGTCATTCGCAAGTAGTAAATTGGAGGACCAGGAGGGTGAGGTTAGTTTAAAACAACAGTCTTCACTTCTGATACCTTCTTTGCTCAACATCTACTTCAAATATCAAACAAGGAAATGCAGCTATGACCTTTGCCTTCTGTGCTCCAAGAACATGATAGCAGAGCTTTTGTGTAACTAAACCACACCAGATCCTAGATACTCCGAGCCTGCATTGCAGGAGAAATTCAGGCTTCTCTGCTGCTACCTTTAAGCTCTTCAGAGCAAAGCAGGTGATAAGGAAGGAGTGTTATCACTGCACTATAGGAAACAGAGTCTGAGTGACAGGGGAGGACTGTGCAAAAGCTGAAGTCAATGATGCTGCAGTAATTCTTGCGCTCAACAACTCATTTCCTTAAAATACAACATGTAATACTCTGCACACAAGCATCTATTTCCTGACTGCATACAACATCAATTTTTAAATCCAGTCCAGGCTACATATGGTGCAATTTATTATTTACATTTTTATTTACAAGCCATATTTTTATGGTGTAAAATACCATAGAGACTTTCACTAGGAAAGTAAATTTTCCAGTGCTCGTTTTTAGCAATTACCTGCATGACCTAGCTAAAAATATTCCCTCTTCCTCTCGGCTCCACTGTCATGTGTTAAATCCAGTTATGAAGACCTTGGCACTGCGCTCTCCCCTTGCCTGGGCAGATGGAAGATGGCAGGGAGCTGCAGCAGGAGCAGGCGCACGTGTTCAGCGCTCCGGTCACGCTTTCAGGACGCACCACTCGGCCCGGGGATGGCAGCCTTCGTACTCCTCCAGGTGGGGGTCATCCAGGTCTCCCCTGTCCTGGTGCTCGGGCGCGTGCAGCTCTCCGGACGGGGGACCAGTAGCTCTCACGCACACGCAGCGGCTCCCTCTCGATCCAGGCGTGTAGAGTTTCCGGGGAACTCCGACCCAGTCCCTGCTTATGCCTCCACTAAGAACAGGAAAGGGAAAATCAAACAATTCAGATGACAAGTTTCCAAACTGGGAAAATTCCTGCAGTCAGTACAGGCTCAGGTAGTTACATGGCAGTCTCAGAAAGCCAAAATATACTGAAAAAGAATTTACTCCCAATGGCCACCATCCCCTTGTGGTCTGATACCCTGTTGCTGGCTGCGCTTCAGCAACCTGCGGGAGCTGCCACCTTCCCTACCCGCCGTTCCTGTTCCTGGAAGAAGAGCCACAGCCCTGCAGAGCACAGCTTGCGAATGGCAAGGTGCCTGTTTCTGAGCATTAATTGCTCACAGTAATACACGCCACCTTATGTGCCACAGCACAAGGAAAAGAAGCCTCGATTAATTCTGCAGCTATTCCATAGTGTGTCTTAAGGCACCAAATCTGTTCCTGTAACCATTGCACCTTCAACACAGGAGGCGACCACAAAACATCCCGGCCCAGCACTGCTCCAGAAGCAGATCCCCTGGGATCCATGCTGCTAGAGCAATACTCAAATGAAGCCCAAGTATCTTGCAACATGGTCAAGTGTTTTCACTTGTAAAAACAAAACGGATCTCAATTTAAATCAAAATACTCCCTAAACCAAGAGATGTGCACTGCGACACAGACCAAGCAGAAAATGACTGCCCAAAGCTTAACCTAATTTTTATGTGGTTTCAAATGAAAACAGTTATGGAAATAGACAATGAGATGGGCTGTGAACTTCCCTGAAAGACCAGCTGACCCTTGGATTCAGGGTAGGCGAGAAAATCTGCATCCAAGTATATATAAAGAGCAGAGAGGCAGAGTTCACCTCTGTTTGGAGCACCAGAAGCGGCTGCCCGTGGCAGAGCTCCACTCGGAGTTGCAGGGTGGAAACTGCTGCTTCCTCTGGTCACTTTCCGCCTTCAGCTTCATGCCTTCCTCAATAGCAGCCTCCACCTGCCTTAAGGCTTCTGTTGGTGCTCCGTTTTCATCATAGTATCTGCCCACCAGCTTTCCTTGGAGAGAAGGAGAAGATCAATTAAGACTGCAGTGTTTCTAGGCAAGGAAAATTACTAGTTCTGCTATTTTATTATTTAAAGGCAAAGAAACAGAAGTGCATCTTTGCCGTGTCCCAGTTTAAAACAGAACTGGGCTTATGTCCTCTTGGATTACATTTACCCTTTTGCTAAAGCAGCGCAGGACAAGCTCTGGCACGGGCACGTGCCAGTGACTCAGTATCAAAATAGCCAACGGCCCTTGCAGAGCGCAGAAGCGTTTCCAGCACGTGCATCCCCTTGCCAAATGCCGTCCTCCCCGCACCGCCGCTGCCGCTCCAGGGAGCGGGGCACTCACCCACCAGGATCCAGGGAGCAGAGCACTCACCCACCAGGATCCAGGGAGCGGGGCGCTCACCCACCAGGATCCAGGGAGCGGGGCCCTCCCCCACCAGGATCCAGGGAGCGGAGCGCTCACCCACCAGGATCCAGGAAGCAGAGCACTCACCCACCAGGATCCAGGGAGCGGAGCACTCACCCACCGGGATCCAGGGCGCGGAGCGCTCACCCACCAGGAT